CAAAGAGGCGACCGGAGAAGAGGCAACTGCCTGATGCTGCTGCTGCTGCTGCTGCTGCTGCTGCTGGCGCCCTCACGACGCGGTTTAATGTTCTGTTCTACTCGTCCGTCGGTGTTGGGCGCGCTAGGCGCGATTGTGCCGACTTCCAGACAAGTCGGACGCGGCGCCCACAAGCATGCATACACAAGACGCTCAGTCGGACTTGGTGCAGTCGGCCTCCAGTTGAACTGACAAGACCTGAGACAAGGTCATCGTGTGAGGGTGCAGGTTGTGCGCCAAAAATTGCAATCCCCTCCAAAAGGACAGACAAGAGTAGACTAGACCTCCGTGATTGACAGTCGGCGCTACAACCGCTAGGCTTGTGCCCTGTTAAGACGGCAAGTATGTATAAGTGTATGAGTGTGTTACTGGTTCTATTTGTGTCTGCATGCAAGTTGGTTGGTGTGTGTGCTGTGTGTGTGTGTGTGTGTGTGTTTGTTTGGTGGATAAGAGTGGAGGATCGGACAACCTAGGGTAGTTGGCCGAGTCGGTTGAAAGCAGTGGTTCTGCCTGTTTCTATAGGTCACTTCAATACTCTACCTGGCAACGGAACCCCGTGGTCTGAAGGGAAGAGCTGTTCTGCTGGCAGATGAGCCCCACGAAGCGTGTAATATATGTATATATATATATGTGTGTATATATGGTGGCTGTCGTGAGTCAAGTGTGAATTTAACAAGAGCTGAGGCAAAATCCGACGCCTGGAGAGAAGGGAGTCGTGACGACACGGAGCTGACGATAGTGTTAGTGGCGGTAATACGAAATTCCTGTTGACACGAGTCGGGACTGCGAGAGGGACAGCCCCTTTTTTGAGCGTTGGTTGGAGTCAGGCTGAAGAGGAAAAATAAGGCAAGAAGACGAAATTACGGCGACGGCAGCCTAAAGAGTAATTGGCGCGACTTGATAAAAGCAACCCAGTCCTAGGCCGGGGGGGGACAACGAGGTTTGGCTGCTTTGCTGGAATACCGACTTGCATACATACAGACAGACAACCAGACAGATCCAGACAGACAAACGGACAGAGGGACGTGCAGACAGAGAGTAATTGAAAAGACATGACAGATTGGAGGATAGCTTCGCGCAAAGTTGATCCTAGCCTGATAGCCAAACATTCCTGTCAAGCTGACCAATCGGAAAGAGGCAATGCGACCGCCATTTCCTCACCCTCTTCTCATTGGCCAGCTTTACTCGCTCCCCGCTGTGCGCAATCACCTCCAGCTGTAGCGCGTAGGCACACCTGTGAATATATGCCTGAGCACGGAGCCGATGAAGAAGCAAGACACTGACGGAGAGAGCGAGAGGGAGAGAGACAGCAAAACAGCCAGGCAAAGAGGGAGAGGAAAAAAAGCCACAATATTGGTTCGAGTAAAAGGTAGCAGGCTCGAGGCAGAGGCAGACTCTTATTTGATCGAAGAAAAGGCAGGACTAGCTGCTGCCTTGCCTGCAATTGGCCAATCGACTGACCTGCCAGTCAGCCAGACAGCCAGTTAAAGGCTGCGCAAAGAGACGAAACCGAAAAGGCGACTTCAGCGGGCGCTGGCTCGAATGCATCACGAGCTCGGCGCTTAGAGCCGGGAGCCTGAAGCCTGAAGCCATTGCAGACACGCCTGTCCATTTGAGCCGTCCAGACGGTAAGCCTCGATGAATTAGAGAGATTTTAAGTCGAGGCGACAGGTGAGAGGCGGGAATGACGCTCTTTGTTGTGTGTGCATTTGCAGGTGTGTCATCGGCCGACAAGCGTCGAGATGACCCCTGAAATTGAGAGCCGATCCGGCAGTTGTCAAGCCAGAGTCGTCCGCTTTCTGGCCAAAGTCACCGTTCAAAAGATGGGGGAGCGGGAAGAGGGGGCTTGAGAGAGGAATTAACCGACACACTCACGCATACACAACAAACCTGGTCCTTCAGGGCCGTCTCCTGCTGCTCGATCTGACCGACAGAGTGTCCGAGCAAGCGACAATTATTGACCTTTCTTATCCTCATCCGCCAGCCCATTTGTCGACTAATCAGAGATAATGATTAGCTGAGATTCAAGAATGCATTCACAGAATGAGCTGGCGTCTTCTTCACCGAATCCGGCAGTCACGCGCCCAAGACAGAGACTTCTTTCGGTGTCGGGTGAGGTGACTTTGTGCATCCCTTCCAGCCGCCATTTAAAAACAAATAAAAGATAATATGAGATGTCTCGAAACTCTACTCAAACACGAAACAGAAAAGATACTCCAGCACCCGACTGACCAATCTGAAGGTCTAAAAATGTGCAACACGTTTTAAGCTTCTCGTCTCAGAGACTAGATCCGGATCGCGATGACGTCTTGCCCCTCTGGGCGTCCGACTTGGAAACAATAAAAGGGGTCTTTATGCCGAGAGCTGAGGGATGCCACCTCCGTCTGGAAGGGTCTAGCTCAACCAACATGCGCTTCTACCTCTCATGTGACCAAATTATCATTTTTAAGACCACCCTCCTCCGGACTGGAAATAATTCCGTCCCGAACAACACCCGCGACCAGACGCAGAGGCACGTGACAGCAGAGCTAGTCACGTAGTCTTCACGAATGTTCGTCCTCATTCCGCCCAATCGAGGCTTCGCACTAATCCGAGAATTTTCCAAGTTGACGTTCCAAAGCTGGCGATTGGCATGACTCCTAAAAAAGAAGACAATGTGCATTCGCCTGACAACAGGAGCAAGTTGCAAAAATATGGTCAAATCACTTGTAGGTACAACGAAAGTAGACGGCGAGCACACCAGCTTGGTCTTCACACCAGGTTTCGAAGAACACTATCCCTAATCGAAATATATTGGACTAGGCAATCATTTGCTCAGAGTGTGCAATTTGATATTTATGATTTATCGATAAAGTCTGCACAACAATAGCTACCAAAATGGAGTTTAGTCGTAACAAGGTACACAGCCAAGCTGAATATGCTCTTGACTCAGGCGTGCCAAGTTCATGTTGCTGAGCTCACTTCCATTTCGAGTAAAAAAGTATTTGGTGATGAGATTCCAATACGGATCAGACCAAAAGACGAAGGTGGATTCCTCTTGACCAGCTGTCAGTTGGCTTACTGGAACATTCTTGTTGACGCCGTTTCCGAGGCAATTACCTTCGCTTCCGGTGAAAATATGAACAGTTTCCGTCCATCCTATGACAGACGTGATCATATCAACCATATTCAGGCTATAATGTCAAGTTTTCTCAACTCGTTAGCTTGAATGTGCTTGTAAAGAGGATGCCACTTCATTTTTTTCAATAGATGTCTTATTTCAAGTGCTTCTTCATC